GCATAATGAGTGACTGCCATTACGTTTTACAATCTTTTCTCTTGTATTCTCTTTGTCAATTAAGTCTGTCTTTTTTACTTTCCATATGTAAGGCACAACTACTTCTTTCTTGTGCTTTCTTTACGACAGGGTTCACCTTTTCGTTCTTGACATTCAACAATGGAGAAAACATGTGACATGCTCGCCATACAAGATTTAGCAGACGCTTTTCGCCATCTTTTCTTTTCAGCACCAGAATCAACTTTATCGCAGCAACCCTGTACATAAATAGGGTCAGTGAAATCACTAGCCTTTTGTCATGTCTCGGCATGATCACCATTACCAGTCTAATTAACGAAACATTTTCTGACCCCTGGCGGTCCACGATGATCACGAATGTCTTCGACAACATAATAATCTACTTGAAAGTGTGACTCATCCGTGTTTACCAACTTTAATTCGAAAGTAGTGCACTTTCGACGAATCAACTGACCTTGCGCATCCCTCAAATTGTACAATTCTCCATAATTCTGTCTTACCACATTGTATGGTCCTACATTTAGTGGGGCTATTTTAATTGCCCTACTATTCAATCGAACTGGAACGCGTGTAAAAAAAGAGACATCGACAAGTAGGTCTTTATCATTATATCTTTTACTGCGTTCCTCATTAATGGTTTAAGTTCTTTGGTCGATTGCAGGAGAAAATACCTTTTATGTACTCATTGCGTTCTTCTAACTCTTTGACTGACATCAAGTCTTTTGGAAATAGATAATTTTTAGAATTTTCATAGTCACCAGGTATTTTAACTCTACGAGTGTACAGAAGCGCTAAAGGGAGAACTAAATGTTTTTGCTTTTTATATATATGTTCATGCAGAGCTTAGAGATAAGAATTTAATAACTCGGATCTTTACCATTGGATTGAAACATTTTTCGGGGCATATTTACCACAATTTCAACTCCAGCTTCGGCATCTCTATATTATTGTGGATGATATGGCGCTGTATATAGTCTATCAATTAGCGGGTTTTACATATACCATGCATAAGAGCATTTTCAAAGTCATTGCCACAATCACTCTGGATACAGCGAGCTGTTTCGTAGTCAGAAAATATAATCATCAAATTCATTGTCAATGTATCGGATTGTTCATTCTTTAATGGTTTGATGGCAATATACCTAGCACAAATATCAGTCAACACATATAAATAAATATATACATCTTCAGTTGAAATGAGAGGACCAGCCAATAAGTTGCAACATGATCAAACGGACATTGACTGTCAGGAGCGGGGGGGGGCAAGGGCAGAACAGAATGAATATTAAGATGAGGACAAGACAAGAGAAATCATATATCTATTACTATTAATTTATATATAGCAGGAATAAAGGTAGACAAGGTTTTCCAGAAAACAGGAAAAAAGATAAGATCTTGAATACAGAAATAAGAATAAATAAATATGCTGTTATTTATATCAATTGACAGATCGGGTAAACAAGGGTTCGGGGATCAGATTTAAAAACACAGATTATTAGTCCTATTGAGTTTGGGGCATCGTTGGGGTAGCGGGCATAGATACAGATAATTTTGGGGATATATACAGAGGATATCATGGGCAGATATTATTAATGTTTTACAAGGAAGTTTAAAGGCAGAGGTACAAAGGAAACGGATGTTAAATGGGTTTTACAAGGACAGGGGATAACGGGGATACATTATTTAGAACAGAGACGTTAGACAGGATACAATAGTGATGTTTGACGGTGGCATGTGTGACAGAAGACAGAGAAGAGGGAACAGATGGGACAAGGACAATAAGCTAGCTTGGTTTGAATAATGATCTGAGACATTGGGTATAATTATATGCAACTGAATCCTAGGCGGTTCATAACATTGACGTACAAATGTTACGGACAGAGACATGAACAAGACACGGAAAATACTAGGCAACACGAAGGATGAAATTAGTTTTAATATGGGACATTTAAAGAGGGGGTTACGGGTATGACTAAGATCCAGAATACCGTTTCTCTAATAAATAACTAGCAAATATTTATACTGTTTTTTATACATGGGAAAAACTACGATAGGTTTATATAATAGATTAACAGGGATTTCACGGAATAAGCTTCATGCACAGATTATTGGCAACGATAACTAATTGAGATTTGACGAGTAGTAACAGAATGGATTTAGTAAACATTGAATAATATGATGGTTCGGAGATTTTTTTTGACTGGGGCGGGAAAACTGGATTAGGAATAAAAGTAACAGATGACCGGGAAATGGCTGACGAAGATTGAGTCAGACCGGAAGGAAGAGCAATATTGAGATAATTATTAACGACATGCTTTACAAGTAGTTGGGTGGCGAGAAAGAAATATTGATAAAATTCTTGGAACAAGGCTGTGAGTTTAGTAGCGGACAAAATATACTGATATTAACTTCGAGGACAATGTTTCACAAGGGTTTAAAGCTCACTACAGTCGTGTCCGCAATTTTTGAGTTTGTGACGTACTGTCAGCCAAAAAAAAATTCTTTGTTGCAAGAGATTAAGGAATCCTCCTTTATTTTTTCTTACAACATGAACAGAGTTCTCAGCAAAGTTAAATTTGTTCTGATTTAAATGAATGCCTCGGTTGAATGAAACATGAGTAGAGATATTTGCGGTTTACTTTGTCCTGGCGCTTGGCTTATAGAACTCGCGTTTATTGGAATTAGTTTGAAGTTACAGATTATTTATTTTATTCAAACGAATTCATGTTTCAGTTTAATCAAAAGTAAAGAGATTTGCATCCGTCGTTTTATACGTGTTATTAGTTACTGATTCTTTATTTTTTAGGGTCTCGACCTGTTACCCATTTGTTTACATGAAATCTATCGGAGGATCACTAAAGTTCATTTCCGAATCCAGTCGTTGTGTTTTAAATAAGAAAGTTTCCCATTGGCAGAATAGAGACTACCACCACCCTCACCTTGTGAATTCACAATAATATCGAATTCGTAGATTTATTCCTTGAAGATAAATGAATCTTGAGAGCCTAGTTTGCTTTGGCTAGAATTGAACTGTGTGGCATGACCAAACACATTCAGCATGAAGAATATGATTCTTTTGTCCTTTATTTTGCCAAGGATTTCAAAAGAATTTCCGTACACTATAGAGAGCGACTATCTTAAACCTTTGTTTTTTATCAACAACCAAGATTCGGACAGGCAATGTAGTTACGAAAACATTTTATTCGGCAAAAGTGTCTTATCCAAAAACAATATGAATGAATTGATTGATGGTATCAGTAGGGTAAAGGATACAAAATTAAAGCTCAAAACGTTTTTGCGGGACCCCGTCAATAAAAACGTGTATGTCGGCTATAATTTTATTCTAAAATTTTTGTGACATAAGACTTATTTAAGGGAAACGCGATTATACTTGTTTGGTTTATAAACGGGTGACCATCATTGTTATTTATTCAATTGAATTAAAATTTGTGTCAGGAACGAGGGAGGAACGAGACAAGCAGGACAGGACAGAGAATGAATAACTTTTTGGAGCAGGTTATTTATTTAAGAATAAAAGGGAGAAAAGAAAAGAGGAGATGATTATGAAATATATCTGATAAAGAAAACCGGGAGAAGTGAAATTTATCAGCTATATTTATAGAGAAAGAAAAACAAGAAATCAAATAAAAGAATAAGCAATGACAAAAGTTATTGTGGTATTTGACAAAAATATTACAAAGAAAAAGTAATGAGAAAAAAGTATATCTTTATTCGAGGTAAAAATAGACTAAAAGAACTCTGCTGCGATGAAATAATTGATCCTTTTTATATTGAACAACTTCCCCTGGTAGTTGTGTTGAGTCAACCTTTCTGGTCTTGTAATAAATCTATACTCAGTTTCCCGCCTTACATTAAATGAATTCTACTCGTTAGAATTGATTTCAAATAACGTCGCCCTGAATCAACCGATCTGGGACACTCTTATTGTTCTGTTTAAAATACAGAATTCCAGTAAGGTATTGTGTAACGGTGGCTAGTTAAAAGATGCATAAGGTTTTTGTGTTTAATTGGCTGTGGTAGAACATGTAGATATGTCTGATCATTTATCCATTCTGTTGATTATTTTTATCTAAGATATGGGTAAATATGTGATCCTAAATATAGAAAATCTTATCGATGTTTGTATATTTAGCTGTAGAAAATAGGCATCCAAATATTCCATGCACTACTTCTCTTATACACGTACAGTCGTATAAGTTGTGTTTATCAATATATAAGTAAATGAACCATTTATATAAATAGCTGTTCTATTCTCTCTATGGGTAGCTAATCCATTGAGAGAACTATTAATATTAAGTTTCTCTTTCTTATATTTCTTGATTTGATCGGAGAAGCTTTTCTTCCCGATCGGTGATATCGTAACTCAGTGGTATAGAATTCTATATCCAACTGTCATTCGTATATCGATTTTAAGCCAATCATGCAATCTTTTTATATAGAAATATGTACTCATAGTAGGAGTCGTTGTGTAGCAGTATACAGGTGTATGCTGTTACTCAATATTAAAGGATGTTTTTATTCCATGTTTTTATTTTATTCGATTTATTTGTTTATTTTCAAATAAATCATACCCAAATACGACAGTTAGTCATAGCTTATGTGGATCATGACAAAGGATTTAAAGAGCTGACGGATCAAGGATAAATATTGAGTCTGAAATCTGGTTACTCATAAAGCATATTTGTGGCATAAGATGTAACAGGATCATGACAATGTGTCAAAATAAACTCCTCTCATTTTTTGTATAATCCATGAATTGGCATGGTTTGTCATCTGTTTGTCAAAAAAAAAAGTTCCGTTTCTATAACAAGTTTAAAACCAGGTTTGACTTTTGTCTTTTAATTCAGATGTCTTAAAGAGACTTGTACATCTCAAGTACCGTGTGTTCTGCTCTTTCCAATAAAAAAATCCGAGATTTTTCGCTGCGCAAACACAACATCAGAAACCGTTCTCTTCTGTATTTATAGCATACAATTATTGTCAACAACAAATTCGGCATTATCAGTATAGATAAAAGCGGCATCGTGTGTAGTGACAAGTGCGATTGTAGGTGCATAGGCAGGCGTGAAGGTTGGCGTGAAGGTTGGTTTCATTGGTGACGTTAGGGATGTCGTGTTGGTAGGGCTAGAAGGAGGTGTGACGGTGGATGCAAGGATGGGTGTTAAGTTTGACAAGACCGACATCAAAGTATCATGACTAAAATAACAAAGGGCTAACAAATAAAGTGCCAATACGGTCATCAACAATCTCTAAAGGGGAGGTAAAAAATACAATTCTGTTTCTTCACAAGAAGAATTAATATTTCAAAAAAAAAAAAAAAAAAAAAAAAGAAAAAAAAAAACCGGTTGTCCACTTACTTCGCTTGATGTCTTTATTCATCTCCTCGTCATAAAGAACTCTTGTAACTTGTTTGAGAAATGCAATATCTTTTTTACATCAATTTCTTTTGGCTTTTGCTGTACATCAAAGGGAATAAGGTCCATTCATCGAGCTGTTAATTTTGTTTTCAACTTCATTTTTTATTTTTATTTTTAATTTTAAAGTTTAGATAGTTTGTAAGAAAAAAAAGGCTGTTATCATTTTATTCTCGCTGTGTTTTTGTAGATCTGAGACTATTTTGGTCTAATTACAAGTCCGCATCTCCAAGACTGGTTTAGAGGGAAAGCGTAGAATT